GGAAGTGAAAGATTTAAAACGAAGGTTTGCAGATTTAGTCGACAATGTGAAACAGAATATGAAAAGTAAGTGTGCAGAAAGTGTGGCTCACTTAAGAGAGAACGTACAAACCGAGCGTGCACATCTCTCTGACTATCTAATGTTCGCATTTTAAAAATCTAGAATCAAAGGAAGTCGACAAACAAGTACAAGATCTGGAACACAGTTCTGGTCTTATTTCCCTGATAATACAGCGGCATGAGAAAGTTATTGAAAATGATGTGGATTATCTGCTCAACTTACTACTTATTTCACCGACGAATTCATCTAATCTTTTTACTGTTGAGTTATGGTGTGATCTGAACTTCGGAGATGTATCACGCCAAATCGATAAGATGTCAAGACAAGCAAATTTCGAGAGTAGTTCATCATCAAACAATAAGAATACGCTTTATGATAAGCTGAATTTTACTATTGGCTCTCTTGACTGTGATCTATCTTCGATTGCTATCAGTCGATCAAAGGGAAAAGAAGAGCTGACGATTCCTAAACTAATTGGCAAGCTCGAATCAATTCTGGAAGCAGAACTCAAGAGTTTTGAATCCGACACACACAAAGATCTTGCTCATACTCGCCGTATCTGCGAAGATTTACGTAGAAGTTTTCTCTTCAATAATGATAATAAGAATGTTTTGAAGAAATACTTATTAAAACTACAAGAGTCAAATCGCGGCGATTACGAGCGCATGCGAAATGACTTTGAAAAATTGCTAGGGAAATTGCAAGCAGCAGCTGATCGTGATTTAAAGTCACTATCTCAGTGTGTAAACGATTGTCTCAGATCATTTGTAAAAGAACGTTACATCCGTTCTGAAAGACGCCGAAAACAAAAGGTATTAGATAGAAAAATCGCGAAGGAGCAAGAAAGATTGGTTCAATTCGCAGAAACATTAACTGAACTGGTTGTTGGATCCGCTTAATGGCAAGAATTCGAAGGACGACGACGACAAGTAGAAACCGAACTAAAAAAGGGAAAACTGGTTCATATTGGGAGAATTGATGATCCTAAAAGTAAAAACCTTTTTTTCTTAACCCGTCGAGCTCTATGACACACAAGTAGTCCTTTCGTTAAACTTCAGATGAGATATTATCAGTGTGTATCGAACTAAACGGTGATTTTAATAAATGGAATGAGTCCGCTGAACTTAACAACTTAAATTTTCGTCGTCTATTCGCTGAGGAATTGCATATTCCTCATGATGCATTCATCATTAGTAAAGTTGAACGAGGTAGTGTCGTCCTATTCGGTGCAGTTCATCCACCATATGGAAAAATTGTTCTGGAGCAGCTGGTTGTAAAAGAAGAACAAATTGAGTTATTAGGCCTGTCCGACGATGAAAGAGAGGCTGGCTTGAGTGTTAAATCAGTGAAATTAGGTCATTTTGGTATACAGGTGGCAGAGCATCGTATGAATGAAGAATGGAATCGTATCTATGTCAACAGTCCAGCAGAACGGAAGACACTAATTGCACTCTGTTGGTCGGGGTCTATAGATCGTGGTGGTAAACCATATTTTTGTCCGAAAGCTGAGTAGTTGGTAAGTTCTTATCTACACTTTACAATCTTGCTGTTTTCTCAGGATGGACTCGTTTTGGTATTCGAGTTGCCAACAGCGCAAGAGAATTTAATCGTCTATGGGGCACATGGCCTATAGCTTATCATGGAACAAACAGTAATGCAGCTGATAGGATTATTAATACAGGTTTAAAAGCGAGCAAAGGACAATGCTGGGTTAGAGAGGGGCAGTCCGTCTATTTATCTCCGAGTATTGAGTATAGTGCACATCCCCGTTACGGTAAACCATGGCAACAAGCGTCTACAGGAAAATACCATCAACTCGTCTTTCAGTGCCGTGTTAATCCACATCGTATTACAATATACGGTGAAACATTGTTGAACAATTCAGCAAAAAAAGAAAACATTCAGATAGATCCAAACTTTAAGAACGATGAACTTGAATGGATTGTTCAAGTAGATGACAATACAAGGTACGTATCGGATGATATCATCTGTTACGACATGATGCTGCGAATCACTGACGGCAATCCAGGGCAGCTGCCCTCTTCGCACTGGTGGAAGCACACACACTATGGCGTGAAAGACTTAGTAGAACCTTTCGTCTGACGTCGACACTCTGATTCTTGGGTTTATAATAAACAAAGATGTTTACCTAAAGCACGTCCGAATGATCGAGCAGAGAAGGCAGCGATTATCATTCTAGGTAGAACATTCCATTGGAAGGTAGTTCATGGCAGAAAATATGACTTTGTAGCTTTTCGTTGAATTTTGATATTTTCCAAAGACATTTATTAGAAGCTCGCGTTGAGATTCTAGTAGTCAATGGTTTTATCAATGAAAATGAAGCGAATGCAGTTCGATCAGTAATAATCTTATGAAAAAATATTAATCTAAAGTATTTTCTCCTATTCCCTAAAACTGGTAGTTAATGTGTTTATGTTCATTATTATGAAAGAAATATCATAAAATCTGAAACAACGAGGCTCAAAGAAAGCTCCCCGACCTCTTTATAATAATTTGTAATATAATCCCGGAGTACTCTCTAAAATACTTTCGTATCGTACGGAACCAGAAACGGGTATTTTTTAGCGCTTCAGGACTAGTCATTCCAAACGTGGTTTTGTGCTGACTCCGAAAACAACAATCGAAGAACCCATTCCGGGCAAACACATCTCTTTTTACCGCCAGCATGCAAGGATTTTATGCAAATTCGAGCATATGAAAGAGCAACCACCTGTCTTCGACAATGTAGTAGCAAAACGAACAAAAAACACAGCCTTGCCAGCACACCATAAGGCCATCACAATATCCACCTACGACGTATGCACTCTCAGACATCCTGGAAAAATACATCAACTCATCATTGGATGCGTCAAAAATAACATTGATCTCGTTGCCGTCCAGGAACATCGTTGGCAAACACAGGAACAACACAGAGAATTGGTCCAAGATTGTTGTCGCCTGCAAACCTCGATTGTTCGCAGCCGAACGATGATGATGATTTCCATGCCGGGATACCCTTTTTAATTACGATTAAGGTTATTATTTCACAGAACCAAAAAAATATTATTACTCAGAGATTCAAAAAGGGTATCCCGGCATGGAAATAGGGGTGACACTTTACCTTTACTTTATTAGTAATTAGTAACGAGAGTAGTTACTCTTTACCAGCAAACCATCAACAAAAGCTGCTTCTCTAAAAAATTATTTCAATACTTCATGAGAGTATTACAAGAAGTGAAGAGAAAGAGTAGTCTTTCATATCCACTTATCGCGTTCCGCTCCTAACTTTTAAGAATATTTACGCACCTAAACGAAAAAACATTTAGTTATTGAGTAAATAAAGTTAACTCTATTCTTTTTTTCTACTCTTAACTGATTGTTGATGATCAGTGTATTTTTTTGCTAAGTTAAAGAAAAATAAAATAAGACAAAACAATACAATATCAACATGAGAGTATATAATAAAAACAAAGAATTAAAAACATCATTGTTCACCTATTCAGTTGTTAATTTATCACGCAGAAACATTGAACACTTGAAAGTGTTTTAAAACATCCTAAGAAGTTTACTTTCTTCTGTCTTATTAGTGATCAATAAAACAATTTTGATCATATTAGGAAATGGGACTTTCATATCAAGATTTATATGTTAGAACGCTAGAGAATATTGAAAAGAAGTTGAATAGGGCTTTTTTCTAAAAGAAAAATTTCGTTACTTCGTTACTTTCTCGAGAGTAAGGGAGTAACTGGATTAGTTACTTAGTTACCTAGCAAATAGTAACTATGTAAATTACTTGTTACTGGTAACGCGTAACTAATGTAGTTACTTCGTTACCAGTAACGAGTAACTAACATAGTTACTATTTGCTAAGTAACTAAGTTCGTTATTTTACCTGGTAAAGCAACGCCGAGTAACTAGTAAAGTGCCATCCCTACATGGAAATACCCTTTTCCGGTTCTGTTTTAGAGAGTACTTAGACGTGTAGATCAATGGTCGAAAACCAGTTAACTCTCACGTATTATTTGTGGACTATGGCTTTAGGGACCTGATGCTTAATATCTAAAAGTTTCAATCCAGAATCTCCATGAAATTGAACCCGACCAAGAATTTAGAAAATGATGGTTTTTGATTCTTCGTATTGAATTCGAACTGTTGAAAACCATTTAGAAAACCGTTCTTGTACTTTCTGAAACCTTTTCCATATTTTTAAAAACCTTTAGGTGTCTTTTAAAAAACCGAAAAGGATTTATCACGTCTACTAAACCTAAACGGGTTCTACCTTATTCCAAATTACTAAACCGTTCATAGAGGTTTAATATCAAAAAAGGATTTATTAGACACGCTCGAAAAACGTTTTTCGCTATACTAAAGGCTTTTGAACGGTTTCTTAATCTTGACACAATCTGTACTGCCGTGTGTCAGTTTCTCGAGCACATGACAAAATTCAATTAATAGTTTCAGTTTACATATCGCTGCATCGTTACTTCTTTTTTATAATCGTTATTTTTTTTATCGAAGGCAGGTGTTTTGTTCATATGCTCATAAATATGCTATCATATGTGATCATATGACACGTTAAGTCAAGACAACTACCCTAGTATCTTTTCATACCTCTTTCTCTATGTTTTTAGTTCGTCTATTTAATATTGTTTCTCTCATTTCTCCTGTTTACTTGTGCCAAATAAAATTACTTAGACTACAACGATGATTTCCTACGCAAAATTTTGTTGATGAGTCGTTGCACTCTGCGCTTGTTTTAGCCAGATTCTTTGTCAATTGCCTCTACAGCATGGCTGAGTAACATGCGAACAGTTTCTTGTTTAGTTCTTTTTTGCTCTTCTTATTTGTGTTCCATTTTCTTTTTTGCTTCGAAACGTTTCAAAGCATATATAATGCAGCCACGAGGCTGCGACTTTGTTCTATGTATTTCTTTCTTTTCTTTACTGCTGCCAAATAAAGTTTATGTCAATTGACGTATTTAGAACAACAAATATCATTCGCTGAACAATTACATTATTGACGGTGTCAATACGTATTGTGACATAAATGCATTCTATATTTTAGTGTTGATATAAGAGCAAAGATCAATAATGAAATATTATACATTTTCTTCTGTTTTTCTGGTTTGAAAATAAGAACGATTTTGCTTACATTGAATGTTTTACATTGCGACATTAAAAGAAATTCTTTTTCGTATTTCATATGAACCATAAATTCAAGAACATTCAAATGTCAAACAGACATATGTATAGGTTTAACAACCATTACTCTCATTTTTTAAAATCACGATCGGCCATGCTCTAGCCAACGGTAGGCGTTTTCATCTCCATCTGCTACTCGCTTGATACAATCAACTTTCTATCGATCTATTTCCCTGCAAAAGTGAACCCCAAAACCTGTCGTGTTTCTCAATAGTTTAGCCGTTTAGCTTGTCTGTGAATATGATATTCGAACAGTAACATATGAAAGTAAACACGAAACATTTTTAGCATTTTCCATTCGAAAGTTATTGAGTCTCGCACGCGGGGTTTTTTACTTTTGAATGGATCGTTGGATGGATTTTTTCGTGCATCGCGATTAATTGATGACTTTGTCAACCATCGCGATTAATTATGAAAATCATCAATTAATTGCAATTAATTGTTGATTTTAAGTGATTAAATGGTTGTTGTTATTCACCGTTTTCTTTTGCAATAAAGTTTGTATATAAGAAACACGATTTCAGCGAAAAATACACTT